TAATGAAACTGCACAGGGCCCGAGGAAGAAAGGCCTACTGCAGGGACACCCTGCCCTGCCCGAAATTACACCAGAGTCTCGCCCACAAAGGAAGCATTCCGTCCACACAGCGACACTGGCACTTGACACCAAATGTTAAACCTGCAGGTTGTTTCTTCGACAAGTGGAAATTTCCACTGCGGTCGCTTCCCAGTCGGGGAGGCTTGGTGAGAGAAACCAGTGTTGAGGGGGTTTAATCACACAGTCAGTGTGTTACCCCCCCCCACACACACACACACACACAAACACACATACTCAGACCCTCCGTTCCCGTATGCTTTGTTTGGGAACAGTTGTCAAGATGGAAATATCTGATACTCTTTCTAATCACTCAAGCACCAATTACTGTTATTAAGCTTTCTTTGAGAGGCCTTCATTGTTTTTCTTCTAACACCACTGACAGACACCATGGGCGCTAACAGCCTGAACGGAGCGAGCAACTGCAGATTTGTAACTGTGTACTTCACACACACACACACACACACACACACACACACACACACACACACACACACACACACACACACACACACACACACAGTAATTTAAAGGAAGCTCATGGAGGGTGAGAACGACCAAAACCCTAACAACTGTCAATCAAAATCACAGTGTTTTTAGTTTACTTTCTTTGGCTAGCAACAAAAGTGTTTTTTGCCATTAGGGTACCAAAGGTCACCTGAAGAGGCGATATATTGCTGCAACTACCATTTACTTTCATTATTGTTTAATCTGTTCAGTCTTTGTGAAGTTATTTGACTAAGGACTTGGGCTACAATGTGAGAAAATAGTGAACTTTTCCACATTCTAAAATGTGCATGTTGTTGGTGGACTTACAGACCTTGAATAAGATATATCCCATTCATCTTTTGCAAATATTCTTGATAAATAACAATTATGCCCTTTGCCATTGCACAGGTACATTTGCCCTTCTGATAACAATTATTGTCATTAAGTCTTGTTACATTTTACCATCATCAAAGCTTGCTATCTAGAATTAAGAATACGTTAAAGTGATACTGAACAAAATACAGAGATACAAACATAAATAGTTTTCCCTCTTGCCTATAGCTTTATTTTGCAGTACTGTGACAATATAAGCACCACTTTGCTGCATTGAAATAGGGAGTTTTTTTTGTCACGCCTAATAAGAGTTAGCAACTTGAACATTTGTGTTTTTTTATTCTACTAAAGCACTGTACTTGCTTTCATGCACTGTATGCTCCGTGTATGCGTCTTGTGCCTGTGACCCCGAGGTCAAAGTATTCCATCGATGACAGCCTTATCCCTCAAATGCACGGTTAGAGCGTCCCGGCTGCCATGTGCTCGCTGCGAGGTGTGTGTGATGAGTGGAGATGAGTCACAGACAGGGGTGAGAGGAGGTGTCACACAGATAACCCCTACAGATGGACAGCGGGAAGGGTCTAAGGTTTCAGACCTGTGTGTGTAAAAATGATATACCCTGAAAAAGACTATAAGAAAGAATGTGTATTTGTGTGGAAGTATGAGTGGGAGAGTGAAACAAGAGGCCGTGACCTGGAGCAGTAGTGACATGAGCTATCATCACAACAACCCCTCCTGATTCTCCACCAAACAGAGAGAGCAGAACAGGAGAGCGTCCACTCACTCTTTCCAGTGTGGGACTGCAGCACAGTGACACATCTCATCCTCAATACATCCATAAACACATCCAGTGGGGGATCACTGCTGTTTTGTTGCTCTTTAAAGGTCAGTCCACCCAAACCACACAAGAAAATAGTTTCTAGGCCTGGGGATAGTTCTGGTTTGCGGTTTTGAGATCTCAGCTTTGCTCAATTTCTACCACCATCCTAATATGATAGAGGTGAATGTACTTTGTGGTGTTCATGGAATTTAATTAATTACAAATTCAAGAGCAGCATGTGTTTGCAAAAACAACGCCCCAGTTAATCCGTCCTCGCTATGGACATGGTTTCATTTTGAACTTGTTATTTTCTCTAAAAATCGACAATTTGTGCATGACTACCATTATCTGCCAATCATTCGCAGTGAATTAATAGAATTTTAATTATTTTATGAAGTTGTTTGAGCATATTTTGTTTCTGTTTTTGTTTCTTTGATAACTTATTTTGGTTTCAATTAACTTGGGGTTAGGGTTATTTTGGATATATTTAGTTTTTGTTAAATGTAATATATCAACCAAGCTTGTAGTACTGAATCATCACTATTTCTGTGACATTTTTAGATGTATTTGCGTGAGTGGACATCACATTACTGAACAATACAGCTGAAACAATGAGTCAAGTAATTTGTAAATCAACAGAAACTGCCATAACTTTTTAAAAATTAAAGGAATAGTGCAATTTATTGTTTTTAATAGGACGTGGACTATCTCACCAAAGATTTCCCAGCCAGACGTCAAGACATCAAACAGGAAACAATATATTTAGAGATACAACACACTGAGCTAAAATATATATTTTTTCCTTCCATAAAATAATTAAATTCGTTTTTTTAAGCATTCGCATATCAGTGTTGAAAGAGAACTTGCAGCTATAGGCTTTAGATCTGAACACAGGATACACCAAACTATCCCTTTAACTTCACTGTAACTTAAATAAAATATTTTCGCCTAAATTTACAAAGATTCTGTTTATGATCTTTGCCTCACATGACTTACATGAAAGCCTGAGACACACTCACACATTCAGATCTCTACCATCTGGCTAAGGGGTGTGGGGGGAGATTTCAGTGATAGAGGTATGGAGTGCTCCCACTTAAACCGGGCAATGCAAGCGAGGATCATCTTCCTTTGTTCCTGTGGGGAGGTTTACTGTCTATAAACATTCGGCTTTTACGGTGGAACGTCCAAATAAAAAGCTTTTTGAAGACTTCACCCAGTCAATTAGTCGAGCAGTGTCAATAGACCTGCTGCATAATGACTCACCTGTAATTGCGTGAGAACGAGCACTTACAGGAGACTGAATGGCACGTCACATAGGCATGACAAAAGCCCTCAATCTGTTTTTAAGGACTCATTCTGTAATTGACCCCAACCTCCCCTATCTCCCTTCACACTCACACACACACACGCTCACATGTATCTATCTATACACTGAGTTTCTTAAGAACCACGTGGCTGTGGACTGGAGGCATTATGCTGCCAAACACAAACTGGGAGGGCTTGATTGCTGAACTAAATGGCAGGCTCACTGGGTGTGCTGAGCTTATATAAACGTCCCTCTCTGGGCCTTTTAATAAACGCGCATCTTCTCTTTGTGTAGGGTAGTGGGATAATGAAGAGGCTAGACAATTACCATAACTGGCTGATGTTATCTCAACTTCAGGGGGAGATCAGTTGAAATGTTGTAATTGTACTGTCAAGCTGCTGAAAAGACACCCCTCACCCCCCTTTCTTCTTCCCGAACACACACATACATGCACCCCCCCCCCCCCTTTCAGCCCCTTCTCCTCTGCCTTCAGCCACTTCAAAATGAAATTCTTCTCCGTCTTCTTCTCCTTTAGCTGTCTCCTTCGTTTTTGACGCTGATATGCAGGCATCAAAGAGAAGCCCAGCAGCCGTTAGAGGGCCTGAGGGCCTGCGCAGGCTCCAGTAGAAAACATTTCAACAAACCTGACTTCAAATAAATCACCTATTGTATTATTTTTTCATTCGAGACATCATACCTGTTAAAACATACGTAAAGTAAAACATTTTAATAATTTTTTGTTGTTTTTTAATCCTGCCAGTCTTACCAAATAACTGGAAACTTCAATCTGAAGTTTTTTCGTTTTAGAAATACACATTGAAGTGTTTCTTTAAGTTCTTTAAATGCTGATTATACTGTTGTTTTAATTATTTATATTTGCACAATTGCACCTTGTACATGAGACACGATGATGTGCGGGACACTCTCTGTGAAACAATGCGCAGCCAACGTCCCCGGGCAGTTCAAAGGAGTCGCTCTCTCTAAACATTATCATATAATTTGGGCCAGCCGTCAGCTTGTAAATAAGTGATGTAGAAGCCTATTGTGTGATGGGGCACAGGTTGGAGACAGGCGTCTTTGCTCTGCCGGCATGAGCCGCTGGAGACAAAGGCAGGAGACAGAGCGTCTAACCTTTGATTCTTCTGAGGACTCAGCCGCCTCGTATCAGGGCAGGACGCATCGGCCACAATCATGCCCCCAATGTGGGGACGTCAGGAACAATAGAATAACTCTCTCACAGCCGGGCTCAACAACCCGCCCCGGCTGCAATTGGATTAGCGAGTGTCCAACCACCACATGTTAGCCTAATTGACATAAAAGTGAAATTTGAGAACAATAAGACCCTAACCCCATAAATGCCTGCTAGCTTTGAAATGGCATACCATTCCTCTAACAGCTTCTGTGCTTGGACAAAAAAGGATGAAAATTGAGAAAATGCTGAACCACAGGGTGATCATTTCCACTATTTGTCTTTCTTTGATGAAGTGTGAATTATTCAAAGTTGGTTAGTTGCCAGGTAATTCACCAAACCTTTTGGAACAAACAGCATCAGAATGTCTTTGCTTTTGTATATTTTCTAAGCTAAAAACATTTTTAAAAACCATCAGGGAGTTTCAGGCTTTGAGTTTGATTCTCAATTAGTGTAAAACACGAATGGGTAATTACTCTAAACTTGTTTACACCCCCTTATAATAGATTTGAATTAAAGTAATATAGGTTCAAATGGATTTAGTTTTAATGGGCTCATTAAAATCACCAGTCAAATATGATTGTAAAGAGGTTAATCAAGACACTCAATGCACATTTCTGATTATGTCAACTTTTCCTTAAAAGTCCTGACGCAGTGCTCTTAACCTCGCAAATAGACAAAGAGTGCATCTTGTGATCTGCTGAAATGTGTTATTGTAGGCAATTCGTTTTTATTTTTTTCTCCAAAATGTATATCATATGAAAGCAATAAATATTACCAGTAAATAAACTTTACTTTTTAGATAGTTTTTTACTATTTTCTCAATAAAAAAACCTTATACAATCTAATGTACATTATGAAAAGTTGTACAGCTTTTTATGTTTAAAATAAGGACTCAATTTATTTTTAATATGTAGATATAAATATATATATTTTGTCAAAATATATGATCATATTGTCAAAGAAACAAAAAAAAAGTGAGACAAACATACACCTCAACATAAAAGTTATAAATAAGGGTCCAAGTGAACATTTTTGGGAGTAAAGAACTTCTGATTTGTTTAAAGCGTCCATGTTGTTTTTGTCATGTCGCCAGTCCAGGTTCCTGTAAGTCTGTGTGTTAGCGGCAGCCGCAGCCCTCTACCACCATTTCCTGGTAGTTTTTTAGGACCACCTTGTCATGTTCGTCCAGGTAGAGCATGGAGATGGCGCTGAGCTCTGTGGGCACGCAGCAGGCCTTGGGAATGTTGTTGTTCACAGAGTTCACCAGTGTCTGAACAATGGCGTGGTTGGTAGAGTTCAGATGATCCGCCAGAGGAAAGGGGCATTCCCCGTGGCAGTAAAAGGCTTGGTAGCCAGGGGGCGCCACTATCCAGTCATTCCAGCCTACATCGCTGAAGTCAACATATAGTGCGTGGCGCCGGCAGTTGCGGTTGCGTTTCCGGCCCCGCTGCTTGGGGCTGCGCTTGGTCCGGCGGGTCAGCGGGTGACCCTTCCCATCGTGGCCAAAGGTAACCAGGAGGGGGCGTAGCTGCTCCCAGTCCTCGCCCGGCTCCCGGTGCAGCGAGCGGCTGACGCGGACGTGTCGGCCCTGGTGGCGTGGCGTCTGGTTGAGGTGCTGAACCTCAATGGCCAGCCCATAATTTGGGAGGCCCTCACGAGTCCAACGCAGCACCGCGGGGCTCACGTCAAAGCTCTCCCAGCGCGACGCGTTGTGGCGGACAAGCCGCGTGTCCAACAGCTGCGTGATGAGCTGCCCTGGCCGCGGGGGCTTCAGCACCTCGTACACGTTTATCCGGTGAAGCCCCTGGGTGTCTGAGAAGGCGTCAGCGATGGCCTCGTCAATCTGATGGCGGTAGAGCCTCAGTTCGGCGGAAGAGAGCAGCTCGTCCTCTGGGATGCTGCTGAGGTTGAACAGGAACCGAAGGGGCGTAATTTCTCCATAATCCACATCATCTACCCTCTCCATGTGCTCTGAAAATGAAGAGGAGAAATAGGGAACGTTAAATTAGCTGCGGAATTCCTCACCATGCTTGTCATGTCACCTAATGCAAATTAAACTCATTCTATACTCGGATATTGAAGTTTACATGGAATACTGTATCTCCTTTTCACTGTACCAACAGATACATTGAAACTAAACCTAACACTTCCTCAATCTATCCTGGCTTTATTGACATTAAATAACGGACACTTTTCAAGGCCTCTGGGATATTGATATTATGTGTAACTAATGTACCGCAGGTCTCCCTTGAAAAAGAGATCGTTGATCTCAATGGGATTTTTTAACCTGGTTAAATAAAGGCTACAATTGAGGAATACAAATATACACTGTCCAAGCTTCCTTATCTATCTATAAGGATTATCCAGCCCTTCTCTCAATGCCTTTCTCTGAGCACTTTGCTGAAACATGCATTACAAGGAGGGTGGTGATTAACGTACCACAGCTACAGTATAAACACAGTGGAGGCTCCCTGTTCCACGCTCAGTCTGCAGATTTCTGGCAAGATCACCATTGTTGGGGAAAGGAATGTTGTGTCTACTATTTTCCTGCTCAATCCACCCCTGTTATTTCACACCCAGGCCCTAATCTCACCCAGGTGGTTCTCATTATTAAAACCTGCTGTGTTTTTGATTAGCTCTGCAGTTTGTTCACTTAAGACGTTTATCATTTTCATCATGAATAATCATTAAGGAGTCAGACAATATAGTTGAATGTCATTTATCTGAAGCCCATTGAAAAGGAGGTCTTGCGAGGGAATGCAATGTATTCAAATCCTAAACCACAGCTTATTTCAAATGTGAAATGGGCAAACACATATTTTCATTTTATCTGAGCCTTGTATTTAAGCTTATAGAGCATTTAAAATACATTGACAAATAGGGAGATGTCACCTGTTCCACACAGCCAATACAAAAACAAATGTATCTTGCTGGATTCAAGATGAATGGTTACATGGTTTACCTATCCTGTAAACATGCGCCTCACCTAGCTGTCCGTTTGTTGCAGATTGAAATGACTCGAGGTGTTTTAGACAGATCACTCAACTGAATCACACAACTGAATCACACTATCGCACATAGTGCTTTCAAAGGAGCAAGCACTCCCACTCAGAAGGCCTCAAAGCGTGTTATTAACATAGTTTAGCAAAAGAGAAGGAGGGTAAATGCCTGTAGAGAGCAGTAGAAACTAAAAAACACATACGCTTGTTTGCATGCACACACACATTGCATCACAGGCAAAAGTTCCTCGTCCAGTGGAGGTGCTCTTTCTTCTTATCTCCCGGTTCGTTGCTCTGTGTGTCGGTGTTACTACTAGCAATATGTTTGACAAGCCCCATTAAGGCTGACTCATCCCTCCTTCCTTACTCCTCCCCCCAAGGGCGGACAAGTTCTGTATCCCTAAAGCTCCACGGTGTTCTCAGTGCACCACGTTACAAGTTTGCTTCCACACTTGCCGAGTCTCATACATCACTTTTGTGTCTCGGCCATAGATTTCAAGCATTTACGTCGACATGTCTGAGTCTGGCTTTCCGACCTCATCTTACTTTCAACAAATCGGCTACCCTGGTGTGTCTGTGAGCCTAATTGAAACCTTTGCATCTATCCTTAAAACTAAGCAGACCCAAGACACAATAAACAGAAACCCTTCTAACGTTCCAGTCTTTCTATCACACCAGCTTCTGAGACATTTTTTCCATCTCTACAGAGCACCGTCTGCTCTCAGCACCCACATTGTTGGCAGTAGGGGCTTTATTTAGAAGGCTGCAGAGTAGCATTAAAGATAATTGCACGTTGAGGAAGGTCCTTCTAAAAGAGCCCTCCATATAAACTGGAGACATGAGAGAGGAGAAAACTCCAATTCAAGGCCAAAACCAGGCTTTTTTAAGCCATGATCTGCTGGGTGGGGTGAGAAGTGCAAGTCAGTAAAACAAAGGTATGCTATTCCTTCTGCTGCTAACCAAACATGCAGGGTTTTGTCAAATGAGGCTCCCGAGAGCTTGTCTGGCAGATTTTGTTCTGCCCCTGTGTAGACTGTTTGGTGACCACATCCTTGGATTCCTTGGTTATGGTGAGATGGGTGGAGCTCGCTTTCAATCGTGTTTCAAGGGATGTAGGACATTTTTTTTTTTACACTGAATACTTAGCGGTCCTCGCCCATGCTAATGAAATCCATTACTACCAAAATTATTGGAATGCCTGGCAACAATGAGTATGGTGTAATGTCTCAGTGTAGTGCTAACATGATGTGTTCAACGTCTCTTTCCACTGATAACAAGATTTCTGTCTGAATGTTAGTTATTTTTTCTTACCCTCATGGTGGAAGCCCCTCACAGTGTTGGCCCGGCTGGCGGACCTCTCTGGGTACTCAAACGAGATGTTGTGCGCCCCCGCCTCCTCAGCCTCCCCCGACTGTAGCCGATAGAGGTCCAGCAGGTAGCGGGGCACCGTGGCCGAGCGGCTGGGCCGGGGCCGCTTCTTGAGGCCGAACATGTGCAGCAGCGTGGCCTCGAAGTCCCGCAGCAGTTCATGGCTCTGAGCGGCCGAACGACCCTGCAGGCCCGGAACTTTCTTTTTCCCTTCTTCAGGTATCAGACTAGCATGGTTGCTCTCTCCCAGCAGGACTTGGCATATTAAAATGACCATCAGCATTCGATTACCAGGAATCATGATGTCTCTATGGGGAGGAGCAGAGATAGAAGATTAGGAAAGTGCTGAACATAGCAGAGGGGAAGAAAACATAAAGCAGAAGGACTAAAAAAGGCCTCAATTTTAACTGACTATAACAGATTTGCCCTTTTCTACATGTCTTCACTAGCTTCAGTACACCCTCTTCTTTAAAAGTTCCCACTGACGGCAGACTCTAATTGGATTTAAAGCCCAGCTGCCTTGTTTACAGTAAAACAGTCCCCGATCAGATAGACCTCTTGCAGTTTATCTTTGGCGACATCCTCCAAAGGTAAACAGCTGGTTCAAGAACCCAACTTTTTTGAATGGAATCTGAGGGCCATTCCTCTTCACTCCCTCCCTTCCCCCGTCTCCTCCCTCCTCCACTATGATTAGACAAATAAAAGAGGCAGCCCTGGGGTCAGAGCAAATTCTTAACTCGATAAGGAGCAACAGTCTCCTCCAACAAGCCATGGGGCAAACCAAGGACTATGTGCCACACATTTAACTGAAAAGCTCTTCCTCATACAAGTGCCTTGCCCAACACCCCAAAGGGACTTTCAAGTCTGGTTAAATGCCACATAAATCAGTGACTCAGTGGACAGAGAGGAAAGGGGAAAATGTGAGATGCGGCAACGTGTCACATGCCACAAATTGAAATGGCATGGTCCACTTACTTACCGACAGAAAATAAAGCATGGGAAAACAGTCCATGTTTGTTGGGAGAAGGCAATGGACACGTTCTTCCAAGAAATGTTAGGTGGTGTTGGGCGGCTGCAGGAGAACGTTGGAGTGACCCTGTTCCTAAAAGATACAGATAAAAACAGGACAAAGTTATAAACTGAATGCAATAACAAACATTTGAGGCTTTCATATAATTTGTACTCGAAGAGCAGTGGAGGATATATCTGTGAGTGTGTGCGTGTGTAAAAGACAGACCTAGTGTCTCTTTAAGGCTTATCATTTTGGCTCATAGGCAAAGCTAGCTATTTACTGAAACTGGAATGCAAGGAGGTATGTGCCACAACACAGACAGCAGATCACTAATACCTAAGACTGAAAACACACCTCATTATAATATTACATCTATTCCCTGGCAATTGATAAGAAACATGTTTCAAAACCCCCCCCAAAGAAAGCATTAGATCAGTGGCGACTTGAACTGGAAAAAAAGATCTGAAACTATCCCCTCATGTTCACACACAAGACCAAAGGGCTGATAACACCACTTTGATCACGAGTGGTAAAATCTATATCCAAAACAAGAGGGCTGTTTGCTTACAGAGACCGTCTCCAAGTGAACTCGGTCAACCGTTATCCCTCCAAGCGACTTCACCTCTTTAAGACAAGGAACCAAATGCATCTTTGTCAAAAAGGCCTCATCTCTTAGTAACGCTTCCCCTCTTGAGGGATCACACAGGTTGAAGTGACGCTGATGACAGGGTCTTCTGCTCTTTGACATCACTGTCATCAGTAGCAACGTCTTTAATTCAGCCCTGGTGTGTGTACTGTTTTTTTTTTAGGGTATAATTGGCTTTTACTCTTTTTTGAAGCAGATTCTTAGACAAAATACCTCTAAAAATGAAATGTCCTGCATCAACAGTGCCTTTTTCCTCTGGTAGGTTTAACAAGCACAGCAACATGGCTCTAATTAATGACTCAATGATTTTACGCGGCATTTAAATGTGCTAAATGTTGTTGAATCATACTAATAAAAATGACTGACTTATTGACAGACCGACCACAACAACAGCACCACAGAGCAGAAATGTCTACTCCGCGCTACGTAGGTCTTTGGTCATCATTTGGAGCCTGTTCCACTGGAGAGCACCCAAGCATTACTACACAGTGAGGATGCACATTCACAGGAACATTATGTGTGTGTGTGTGGGTTTGTGTGTATGTGTTTGTGTAAATATCTGGGTTCGTATCTTTGCGATTATCTCGGCCTCTGCATGGCTCACTGTACATGCAACCAAGGATCTTTTTCCTAACAGCATTAGACTTTGACCTCCGATTGACCCCCCCCTCTTTCTCGGTCATGACACTAGATCCAGTGTGTGCAAAGAAAGGGTGATGTGCAGTGTGTGTGTGCATGAGCTAAACGGTGTGTGTGTGCCTGTACGCGTGCACGAGTGTATGCCACCGCTTGCATGTTCGTGAGAACTGTGGCAAAGAGAGAGGAGGGTTCAGAACATGATCAGCTCTATTACCCATGGGGTGGGGGGATAACGTGTGTGTGTTTCTGAGAGAGTGTGTGTATGTGTGCGCACATCTCTTACAACAAACGTTCATTGTACAGCGAGGGCCTCTCCCATGATTACAGGGATTCATAGCACTCAAAAACACTGACCATACAGAACATCTTGTAACTGTAACCAGCCACTGACAAAGCTGCAGGCTAAAACAGACAGACACTCAAAGTGGTGCGATGATGATGAAAGAACATGTAAGACAGACAGGGAGTAAACTTTCAACTCTGGAAAAAGTAATTGCGTTCATTTTGTTGGCCTGTTTCCCCAGATGAAAAAAAAGCAAAACATTTGGAGTTACACCAAACTCTGTTCATCTTTTGAACTACTTTACAAGACTTTTATCTGTATTATCTGACTCACTGCTTTTGATCAAACAGTAAAGGCAAAAGCGAATTCCAAGATTTGTTTTAGGAAGCTTCACTTTCAGAGGGTTTTGGTACTGAGCGAAAGACTTGAGTCAAATTTTGAAACAACAAATGCAGACCAGGCTGCAATTAGGCCGGAGCAGTCAACTGCCCTTGGCTTTGCTCGATCCCCCTTGGCCTCCCTCTCTCTCTGACCAGAGATAATGTGATCAGACTATGCACATGGCTCTTCAGATGTGTTTTCTGAGGAATTTGACAGTGATGGTGGGAGGGAAAACCAGAAAGAAAGAAAGAAAGAGGGAGAAGGCAGCCGGTTACCACGGGAACAGCCAAATCTCTGGCCTGATTTGTATCCTTTCAGATGCCAGTAATCAGTTAACTAACATGTTTATAGTCATGGGAATCGTGTTTTATGAACTTTGATGCCATGCTAGATGAAAAATGTCCTTTTCTGGTTGATATTAATACGTTTTGTACTATAAACAGTTCATAATTATATAAACTATTGTGATGGCCACTGCAAGAAATTACCTGATCAAAAACAAAACAAACACTATCCTCTAAAACATTCTTATAACAAGGGAGATGTAACTCAAGAATTTTAAATAATTACTTAACAATGAGCCAATGTGCCCATAAAATGTAATGTCCTCATTGGTGTTGAAGGAAATAAAACAGAGACCTGTAAAGTTTCTTGTTGTTGGATAGTTTAAGTTTGGGATTTTATTTGCTCCCAGTGAGCAGTTCAACAGTGAGAACATTCACAGTCAGTGAGATCACTGAAAGCAGGTTAATGGTTTTGTTAGCTGGAGTGAATTCTGAGAAACAAGTACTCCGATAAAAAAGATGAGTTGCACGACTTTATTTTTAAATGTCCATGATACTTTCGATCTTTTTAATAATACATTTAAACACGGTGAGAAAATCACTTTACCATACCTAATGCTATCAGCTGATTCCAACAGGTTGCAGGGTGTTAAATTAAACAATTGTAAAATATTATCACCAAAAATGTCTCCTGGAACAACCCCAATTAAATTGAAACCTTCTTTGCCCGATGCAGGTGATTTTATAAATTATAATTATGTGAATAAAAACGTTTCTCTGCAGCAGAAACTTCAGTAGAAAAGTAAAGCAGTGTGCCAAAGACGCCATGCGCCAGCAGGCCGCAATATGTTTTCGCTGCTGCAGCTTTTCTGTATTAAATGACGTAATTACACTTTATAATTTATCGTTACACAACAGGTAAAACCACATGAGTCCTTATATTACAACATCGAACAATTAACAAACCTGCATCACCTCTGCTGTGCGACTGTAATGGTTTGGCACTGACTGGTTTTGCAAACTTTGGCACAACATGACAGGAACGTGCCGTTGTAAATCTGGTTAAATTACGCACGATATATTTTTTTGCATTATTTAGAGTCAAAAATTATCTTAGGAAAATAAGGATGTTCGTCTTCACTCTTTAGATTTAATTCTGAGTTTGTGTCATCTCCATCTCTCTCATTACGCATGACACGAGGCAGATACAGGTGTGTAATAGGGAAGATCGGTGCCAAACTTTGGAAAAGTCACAAATCGGAATAATGTAAACATTTTAATTATGTTGAAGAAAGACAGGCGTGGAGAAATTGGACTCTGTTTGGAAATGACCTCACTGTGTTGGTTTGTCACTGTTTAACTCTCCGGCACAAAAGGCTTTAACCTGATGCGAGCTCTGCCAGGATTAGTGCGCGATTTGTTCCCAAATACTTGTTTATCCACTTTAAATCCGTTTCTATGTCAATGAAGTAGACTGTAAGATTATTATGGGCATGCATCCTTTTACATTTCTGCCGGTAAGTGCTGTCCAAACTCTCAGTAATGTCTGTTAAACGCGCACAAACATCACAGACCAAAAGTAAAAGTCACAAACTTCCTCCTGTTGAAATCAACATATTGCGTTCCTGAAAGCATGACAAATCGGGAATGTGTGAGTAAAAGAGCGCTTACCATCAGTAGAGGTACAGGTATCCTCGAATGAAGTGAATATGAAAGGGAAGGTGAAAGGCAGTCCAGGCGTAAAGCCGAAAAACGCCGAAATGAGCCTTAAAGGGGAAGTTGGGTGCCTTTTTGGCTCATTAATCCTTTCGCGACACCTCTAAACGGACAAGAGGAGACAGGGTCGGAGTGAAGGCCGATGCTCGGGGTCTTCGGCGGGGTTTCCTTTCCCTATCCGTCTCCAGTTCAGCTCGTGGTGCGCAGAACGGCCAGACTTTGCAAATGATCCAGCATCTATGGCCCCTTGCAGTTTTTATGTGTCCGCCCAATTTACCGTCCCTGCCTCCTCCCCCCATTCCCGACCCCCACCTCCCTCATCTGTCTCAAACACCTTGGATAACCCCCCTTCTCTCCTCCTCCACTTTAAATAAAGAGAGCTCATTGCGCGCTGTTTTTTTCTTTCTTTTTCATTATGTGAAACTTTGTAATTTGACTGTGAATACCAGCCGAAGGGTCATGTGCTCAATGGTTTGAATCTGCATTTCAATGCTGGGATCCAGACAGTAAACTCTTCGTAGCGTCGTGGTACCCATGTACCTGCAAATGTAAATCATTTGTCTAAAGAGATTTTGAGTGGCATTTATTGGCCACATATGTTATCCAAATGATCCTAACTCTCAGATTTACACAGTAAACAAGCAAAGCAGACCCATTAAAATGTCAAAAATCTATAAAAAAAAAAACTAGGACAATTCTTAAAAAAATAATATTACCTGTGTGGCTGCTTTAAATCGTTATTGACCTGCTTCATTGCATCCACCTGAAACACAGCTCATTTTTCAATGGACAAATTATAGTTAATTTTTTACCAAATATATTTTGCTGGTTTTTATTCCCCAAACAGATGTGGGGGCATTTATTCCAATATGTGTTCTCTAAAGAGGCAATCATTGAGTTAATGAGGCCCCTGATAGCTCTTCAGTCAGTGTACAGAAAGGGAGAAACTGAAGTGTTCTCTCTACTTTTTAAACCAACATTTTCTCTGTTGATTAACTTCATACTAAATCAAATATGCACCGTTTTTTGTAACCCTATTTAAGGACAATGTGTTGTTTTGATCTAAATTAATACTGTGTGTTTAAAGCTTTGATGAAACATTACAACGTTTCTGATGCTCATTAGGGGGTAACATAAAGTACCATATGGAGCCTTTGTGCTGGAATATCTTTGGAGTGAATTCCATTGTGCATTTGTAGATGTTATTTTTTTAATAACCCTTTAAAAAAAGAAAAGAACAGATGAACACACACACACACTTTAATCAATCTAATACTCAATACTTTATTCAAACATGTTGTCATATATTGAGCCTGCACATTCATCATTATTACATTTAATACTTTTTATTTTTAGAAAAGCGTTTTTAGATAATTGCTTGATTAGTTCAATTGTTGTTTGACATAAAAAAAATACCAATCCGTTTCCCCTTAAGATGTCTGAGAAATGGGACTATTACATCCTGTTCCTATTTTTGTTAATATCGATCCAACAGCCAAAAGCCTTGCAGCATTTAACTAATAAAACACAACAATTGCAGCTGTTTTGTTTGCAGCAGCTCTCTCCACATCAGCACATTTATTATGACACCATGTATTGTTGGATACAAAAATGGCTGTTTAAAGAATCAGTCTCAATTATCAATCATCTCTAACATTTATCCCAAGCTTGCAGGAGATGCATATGTTATGAAAAAACAGTAGGATACCCAGGGAGCTCCTCTGTGGAACACCACACTGTAATAAGAAAGGCTGTAATTGGTTTCATTATTGTGCAACCATTTAATCTGCAGAACTCTGTGACGGAAAGATGCACTCAAATCTAAGGATTGCTTAATAGATATATACTTTTGTACTTCCTTCAATATAATACTTTTGTACTTCCTTCAATATAATACTTTTGTACTTCCTTCAATATAACTCTAAAATGTTCTCACAATGCGCTTGTCAATCGTTTATCCAGTGTTGTTCTAGGCTGTTTGCAGTAAGAAGCTTTTATTGGCAAAAGGGGCAAACTTTGCCAAGCTTCTAGGTCCCCGGGAATTTCCGTACTAATACTGACCAATGTTGCTGAAGTGGATTAACTAACTGATAAGCTGCATATCTCAGAAGTGTCGTATTCACAGCCTGAGGATTTATACTCGGGTAATGATTACATTTGGTTTCCAATGAGAGTGTAAAAGGAAAGTTAAAGATAGCGTCAGAAAGACTGTGTTGTAATATAATGTAACAAATAAAGTTGCATTTCCACCCAAAATGTAATGTCAAATAAATGTGACATCTGACACTTACTTTTGAAACATGAATTTACATTCAATCTGACAATACTTGATATGACATGTTGCATTTACTTCTATTCCTTTACTCTAATATGTTTTGTCTGCACTGTTTGCTCCTTAAAATCAGATAATTGATTGTGTTAATCATTACTTATCTCTCCAGTCACCCGGATAGACTTTGGTTTGGCTTTAAGGATACATCCCCATGACAAAAAAAGTTATGCAAAAACTGCAGATAAAGAGTCCTGCAGTGTGTGTCTGTGCGAATTTGGGAAGTTCTTTGTGACTCAGGCTACTTAATATTCCTCACGTTCTTACACATACCTTCTGCATGACTCTTGACACCATTGCTAAAACCATTTGTCTCTTTGATGGGGACCTTGTTGTGCACAATTTAGTTCTCCAGCCTTTCTTGTTGTATCCATACTGCATGTTTTCACTTTTAAGTTCTATTGACTGGGATTGATCAGGCCGAGGATCTGATATTTCAACACAAAATTGAACACATATTACTATTCGTCACACATTGTTCTACATTTATATGAAATACAGATGAATCCTCTGAAACATCAACAAGTGTTTCAGAACACTGGCCCTTGTTTAACGATATTATCACAAAATAATTCAACTCATTCAAAGATCATATCACATACTTAATCTTAAATTAACAACACTACTTTAACACATTTTCAAAGTTGTTTGACTTTGTGCATATTGGTATCACATGTGACAGGTCATTGGTGCAGTGTTGCAGACATTATAACATCACGTCTGTATTGGGTAAACTAACACTCAACAAATGATAACATATTTTAGAATAGTATGTCTGTGTGATTTATTAAGATTTATGAGATTCTGCAATGTAACACCAGCATGATTTTGTGTCAAAGTCAACAAGACACGACTCCACCGGCATTACCGTAGACCACAAGATGCACACTGCAGATTAAATTCAAACACCTAAAAAAACAAACCTGAAAAATAGCATTTTGCGATAACACAAAAATCAACCTGAACTGTACTTGTACCTGTGATGAAATATGGAACAAGGAAATATATCCATGTCGTTATTTATTTTTATGGGTAGATCTAATCACAGAGGCATCTCGATTTGTGGCAGGAATACTTGGAAGTTTTCTTTAGCCTTTTAACCCTTAGATGCACGAGTGACTGGATCCTACACTCTTCCATAAGTGGGTCAAAAAGGACCCGCATTAGAATAATATGTGTTTTTATGCCATTTTTGTCATTTTGGTTAACAATAATCACTTGTATAATATTTAGTATTATATTTTGGTTCACACTAGAAATATTTTATATTTAATTTTTCACTATTTATAATTTAATAAAAATTGTTTACATTTTGAAAAAAAACGTTTTGAACATATTGATGCAAAGATCTCCGCTATTCTGAGACCCTCACAGTATTCGAGTCCCTTTTCAAAACTCATCTCTTCTCCTGTAGTCTACTCATAGCCCACCCCCCATCAATCCATGCCAGTTGATCAAGTTTGATAGTCCTATACCCCCAACCCTAACCTTCCCTTATATTGTAAAGCGATTTTGAGTCCTTGTATCAGATCTTGCCGTGTAAAATAATCTTCCTGAGAGGTGTCACTTGTGATGTAGTCTGTGTGGTCTAGGTCTACAGTGAATGTATTCCTGACAGCCACAGGTGATAAGAATCAATGGTTCCCATAGGATTCCATAGAAAATGCATGCTGGTCATTTTTGACCCACTTATGGAAGCTTGGGGTAGTAATACAAAAACTACCATTTCTTAAAATGTAAATTTAAAATTTGAATGGCATGATATCCAAAACATGTTTTTTGAGGAATAGCTGGAATATGAAATGATACTTCAAGAAAACCACCTCACCGGGTCAAAAAAGACCCACTTATGCATCTAAGGGTTAACTGAGAAAGTACTCTTAGTATTGTTAATCCAAATGTACTCATGATGATTATTTATTTCAAAAATTGGATTAGTTAGAATATCTTATCAAAAGCATAACTTTACATTTCTCGCGAGATCAAACAAATATATGAAGCAGTTTTTGTAAAGTCATGTTTACATGGGTGTGAGGAACTTTGTGTTATTTGAAGGAAAAATATCTATATTTTATTTGTAGATAATTACTTATGTTTCAATACAAGAAATGTATTTTAATGAGTCGAATACTCCTTATTTTATTATAGAAAGCTTGGCCTTCCTTTGCTCTCATTCACTTTTGAGAGATTGGTTACACACTAAAATGGTCTTATTAAGTTATGCTCCGATTTTTTGTTCTCTCAATTATTAAATTACAATTGTAGTCATATGTTCTCCAGCAGCGCTGCGTATGATGTCTTGAGAGTCGAGCAGAGTTCTTGCACACATAAAGCCTCGGCCTTGTTTTACCAACCAGGCTGCTGGGAGCACTTGAAGATATGCTGTGGACGTCCCTTCGGAGGTGTCGACCAGGCTTAGCCCCTTTGAGCCCCTCCAGTTCCGAAGGAGATTACCAACTGCGGGTGGCTTAGACCCACAGGCAGCGACTGACTCACTGGCTTATTTTACTACCTACATTATGAACCTCTGATCCCAAAGTCTGGGACTCTGTAGATGAGAAAAGAGCTAAGCATGTCATGCCTCGAAACATCTCCTCCTTTTCCTTTTTTTCTGTACATAGTTTATTTGAAAAGTGACTCTTAAAAAGTTAACCTGCTATCAATTTTCTTTGCGTAAACTGAGCACAGTCACACAGCTAACATATCTTGCCTGTGGCCTTTTTTGGGGAGAGGTCAGCAGTGCTTGGCTGCCTTGACATTAGCTGCGAGAGTGGTGTGATTTCACCTCTGTGCCTGTGTCACTAAATCCTGCTTGGAGCCGCTCACCTGTGAACACCGGCCCTTAATCAGCAGCAGCTCAAAGGTGACCCTGCCGCCTAG